GTGGTGGAAGGAGCTCAGCTGGTCCAGAGGGACACGGGCTGAGGCTGGGGTGGGATGGAGAGCCCGTGGTGCCATCCAGCTGGGCTGGTCACTGATGTCCACTCTGCTCCAAGGAGACACCCCACACAAACACACTCCCCCCAAAGCAGGCAGCTCTGCCCCAAAATCTGCTTCTGCAAATCCTACTGCCTTCAACCTGTTGATAGACACGGAGGCCTTTCCTTTCATTTACTGATGTTATTCTCTTTTAATTCTTTATTAATCAATTCCCACATCAGCCACTCCATCAGCTTGCCCAGGATGGGAGTGGAGCTGACAGGCCTGTAATTATCCAGGTCGTCTCATTTATCCTTTTTAAACATTGGCAGAGATCTCACCTGGGAAATCAGCGGAGCAGATTCAGTTCTTGCTTTTGACACAGACATGATTTTTTTCTCCTCCTGTGATGGGTCCCAGCCCTCAAGCTGGGGATCCTGTGGGAGCTGCCAAACCAGCTCTTTGCACACTGCCATGGGCACCATCACTGTCTCCTGCAGCAGCCCAGCTTTCATTTAAAGCTGGGGAAACAGCAGGGAAGGGCTCCCCATCCTCCCTGCAGCACAGGGGCTGGTCCCTCTGCTGCTCCCAGAGCAGCTCAGCTCCAGGGAAGGCAGATCTCAGCTTTCACCACATTACACAGAGCATTTCCTGAGCACCCCTGCTCCAGGAAAGCTCAGGATGTTTCCCCCCATTTTCCAGTTTGAAAAAAGCTGTTCAAAAATGAAACAAATTTTAACAAGTGGGGCAAATTGGATTATTTCCTTCTGGAAATAAGCCAAGAGGAGCTACAGATTTTCCCACTCTGGGTGGTCCTTAGCTGATGTCCTGATGTGGCTCAGGGTGACAGCACATGGGAACATCCCCACAGCTGACCATTGGGAAGGTGAGGGGCAGTGACACTGGGACCAGCAGCCATCCCACAAGGATTCACAGCTGCTGAGCTCTCCCTGGTCCATCAAAATCCTATGAAGCTGCAACAGCCTCCAAGAAAATGAGTGAAACAACTTTTGCAGGCAGCAAACAGCCATGCCAGGGCTCCTGCAGCAGGTAACTTACAACACCTATAAATCTATGTGCAGCATCTTCTGCAGCCTGGCTGCTTTTAACACCCATCAAAAAACACTGGAAAAAGTGAAAGGAGATGGAGAGGGGAGGCAATCCTCTGGAGATGAGCCCTGGCTGTGTGCAAGGGCAGCAGCACATTCACACACCCCCGTTGCCTCTGATCCAGCTCGCCTTTGCTTCCAATTTTACACTTAGGAAGGATGCTGCTTATTCAGGCAGAGCCTTGAGCAACTGGCCCAGCCCCTGGGCTCGTGCTGCAGATGGTGCAAAGCACTGGAGAGGTTTGGGAAAAGCTTCCCCTCCTCTGGCAGCCGTGACACACTGCCAGCACAGAGGGGCAGAAAAGCCTCTGCTCGCTGCCATCTGGCAAACAGAGCTCGGGGAGCCGGGGCTGAGGTGAAGGGGAAAAGAATTTCTCTGTTTGCTCGCTTGTAGGAAGGAGGAGGAGGTTAAACCGGGGGCAAGAGCCCGTTTGCCAGCCTGGCAGGGAGCGCTGAGCATCGCTGCTGATCCCTGCTCACCCCTGCCAGAGCTGCTCCCTGAGGAATGATGGAAATCCAGCGCTCCTTGGTGCTGGGAGGCACTGGGAGCGAGGGCAGGCATCACCAGACTCCATCCAGCCCTTGTTAAACCCCCTCTGGGAAGCAGCTTTATACCAGAGGATTTGTGTGGGATTGCTGCTCAGCAGCAGAAGGGTTTGTTCTGAGCAGGGGGATAGCAGGGGATGAGAAAACATGGCATTTTAAAGCCCAAGGCTGCCCGGGGCTCCCTGGCATTTCCCTCTTGCTGCTGCTTTGTAATCCCGGTTTGTGCCTCCCAGCAGGTCCCAAAAGCAGGGAGGCAAAGGGCAGCTGGATGTGTGGAGGAGATGATCCCTCAGCGAGGATGCTCTGCAGGGACTGCCCAGCACTGCTGCAAGGAGGGATGGAGGCAGCAGCAAACCCCACAGCAGCCTTTTCCTGCCAGGAAAGCTTGGAAAAGGCAACAGCCTCCAAGGAAGTGTTTGTGTGCACGGCCTGAGAGAGGAAGCTCAGAGCTGCTCCAAGGAGGCTGGAATTTGGGTCAAAGAGGAGATCCAGTCAGCTGCCTGCCTTCCCCACACCTCAGGACAGATTTGGAGGGTCCTTGGGCATGGGAAGGGTTCCTTGTTCCAGGGCATTTGTGGGAATGGTCCCATCCAACACAGCCCAGGTGAGCGGAGCCAGGGAGCCCACACGGAGCTGGCAGGTGAGTGGCTCCACTGCCAACGCAACAGGGACATCTCCCTCTGAGATTTCTGAGGGTGGCATTCCTGCCCATGCTCAGGCTACCTCGATTTTCACCTCTCCTGGCTCTGAGCTGCTTTCCAGCTGACCCTGGGGGCTCCTCTCCCTGTTTGCTGCCTTCCCTGGCCTTTCCCCTCAGCGCTGGGGTGCTCCCTGGCCAGCGACACGAGGGGATGGCTGGAGGCACCAGGGACACCAGAGCTGAAGGAAGCCCACCAGGATCCTCCTTGGCAGAGCCCTTGGCAGGGGAGGGAGTGCCCAGCCCAGCCCAGAGCAGCTCCACCAGTGCCACAAGCCCAGCTCAGTTTGGAGAACCACCCTGTGAGCCAGCACTTCCACAGCTCCCTGTTCCCTGCACGACAAACCCCACCACAGCACGCACAGGGAGCCCACTGCTGCCTGAAAGGCCCTGAAAAAGCTTTGTTCAATACCTGTGTGGTTGTTAAAAGGCCTGGCATCGATTCTCTTTGCACATCCCCAGCAGCCCGGCCCTCCCCGGCCTCCCAAACCCCGGCGCTCCCTCTGAGGGCAGCAGTTTATGTAACACACTCAGTGCATCCAAACCCGGCACAGAAAGGCCTTCTGAGCACACCTAAAGCTGCTTTTTCACCAGACACAGGGCACAAGCTACTCACAGGGATATCACAGAGGGTGCCCTTTGCTCGCAGGCCCTGGCACTACCCAGCAAAATTCCCAGAAATTCGGGAGTGCTGAGGATTTAATGGCTGCAGGGACGAGGCTGTGAAAAATAAATGGGCTTTGTTTGGTAGCTTCCTGCCACTTGTGGGAAACAAAGTGGTTTCAAACACCACAGCTTTTAAAGCTGGGTATTTTTAAAACAAAGAAGTGAAGGAGATTTCCAGCTGACAGCGGAGAGGCAAGATGAGCTTGGGAAGAGCTGGGGAAGGAGATGGAGGCTTTGGAAATGCTCAGCCCTTCTTCCCTCCCACAGCAGCAGTGGGAGAGAGTGTGAGAGCCTTCAGCTTCACAGGGTTTGCACCACAGAGCTCTGTGTGGCCTTGGGTGGGATGTGACCCCCATGAATGCCACGTCCCCGAGGTGCCGGGGGTTTGTGCAGGAGCATCAAGGATTTTGGGCAGGAGCAGAGGGGTGTGTGGGGTGAGCATCACCCCCCTCACCTCAGGCTGGGATTTGGGGCAGGATGAAGAGCCTGGACCTGCAGCAGACAGCTGCTCACCTGTGGATACACAGCCCAGCAGCCAGAGGAGGCATTTCCCTTATTTACAGCAACTTCCCAGGACCCCAGGTCAGAACTGAAAGTGGTTGCTTTTTGAGAAGCTATTTAGACCTCTAGAGAGGAGCACACACCATCTCCACAAATTCCAGCTATGTGGAGGGCAGCAGGATCAGAGAATATGTCCTGACCACGAATTCATCAATCTCTTCAGGAAAGAATCAATTTTTATGTGCTCGTAGCTGTGGGGATTATTGTTGACCTTGTGTGATCATAAATAGAAGGCACTTTTGGCACAGCCCCTGCTTTCATCTGGCTCCTCTTTATCTTCCTCTCTCTCTTTCTCTCCACTTCCCCATTTTTGGAAGGTAGCTGCCTACTTTGCACCTGCCTACAGCAATCTCCTTTGGAAACATCCATGCATCTTTATCTGCTAAAGGCAGGATCCTATCAGAGAGTCACAGAGTGGTTTGGGTTGGAAGGGAGCCGAAAGCTCATCTCATTCCACCCCCCTGCCATGGGCAGGGACACCTTCCACCATCCCAGCTTGTCCAAGCCCCTTCCAGCCTGGCCCTGGACTCTTCCAGGGATGGGACAGCTGCTCTGGGCAGGCTGTGCCTCCCCACCCTCCCAGGGAGGAATTCCTTCCCAATATCCCATCTAACCCTGCCCGCTGTAAGTGAAGCCATTCCCCCTTGTCCTGTCACTCCAGGTCATTGTCAAAATGCCCTTGGTGCTCCTGGGCTCCATCTCCATGGGGGACACAGTGTTTGGGCTGACATGGGCAGGACAGGTGGGGCACAGAGCAGCCTGGCACCTGCCCCCAAACCCTCCCCACGCCCACCTTCCCCTGCCCACAGCTCTGCTTTCTGCCAGGCTGCACCCACAGACTGATGGCCCTGGGCTGAGCTGGCTGCTGAGCTGGGAGCTGCCAGAACAGCTCCACAGCTCTCCTCTCCTCCCCAGCCCCTGCAGGAGGACGGGATCATCAGCCAGACCCATCACAACCACCTTTAACTCGCAGAAACTGAGACAACAGCGAGCCAAGGGCAGCACGGGAGCTCAGCCTGGGCTGGGGGCTCAGGGCCAGCGTTCTTTGGCTGCATTGCCATTGCTTGGCCTCTGCCTGCTCAGCCCAGGGCTGCCTGTTCCTCCTTCTCCAGCACCCACCCAACCGATGGAATACAGCAATTAACCCAGCCTCTCCCCAGTGGGAGCTCACAGCCCTCCCTGCTGCTCCAGGCAGCTTCAGAGCACAAGATCACCCATTATTGTGCATCCTCTGCTCATCTCCACCCACACCTGAGTCAGCCTGAGCTTCCCAAAACCCAGGGACAGGCTCCTCCGCAAGGCAGCTGGGGCAGGGCACTGCTGTCACGCCTGTGACCTGGGGTTTCCATCCTTCCCACACATGAGGACACTCTGGAGCATCTCACCTCATTCCTGGGAGCATCACAGCAGCTTTCAGCTCCGGGATGAGCCACGAGGCTGGATCGTGTATCCCACAAAGCCTTCCCCCTAGATCCCTCAGCAACGAGGCAAGGCACAGGTTCTGTGAAATCACTGATGGGGAAAGATAAAATAGAAAAATATATTTTACAGACCCATCTCCTGCACAGGCAGGCAGGTCTTTGAAAGCTGGAATGCCTTGTAAAATCTGGGTCAGTTTTGTGAGATTATTTTGAAGGAGTGAAAAATCATTCTGACAACATCAAACTACCCCATTTTGGCATTTTTTTTTCCCCTCTGAATGAAGTGCCTTGGAATGACTTTTAGTTCTTTATGATCTAGTGAAGTTAAATCAAAGTTAGACCCGAATAAAACGCCCCAAATGATTGGTGACAGAGCTGTGAACTCTGTCTCTGGAGCCGGCAGGGAGCAGCTGGGTCTCTCACCAGGCCAGCACTGCCTCAGCTCATGGAGCCAGACACCTGAATCACCCCTTCCCTGTCCCCTGCTCCTCCTTCAAGCCAATTCCCTTCTCTTTCTGGGCCAGCAGACACCAGAGAAACACAGACCAGGGAGTTGTGCTCCCATCTGGGGGCTGCTGCTGGACTCTATGGGATGGGAATGAGAAATGTTTGCCTTTCGGGAGAGCAGCACCCCCAGCTCGGGGAGGAAGCTGGTTACACCCTGTGCCTCGCAGGGGACACTGCCCTGTGCCCCAGGGAAGGTCCTGCTGCCCCACCACGGGCAGAATCCCCCTCCCATTCCCACCATCCCAAGTGATGAGACCCACCTGGGGACAGGGACAGGTGTGGCAGCACGGTGTGAGAGCCCTGGGCACCACCAGGATCTGCTGCTTCAGTGGAGATCCCACCTGGACCAGCCTCATCCCTTCCCCACCGCCCCCTCCCAGGAGTGACCGACCCCGACACTGCTGTGACCTCCCTGAGCAAGGGGAGGCTCTGGCTACTGCAACGGGGCAATGAGGCCACCCCATGGGCAGTGGGTGACCCCAGACCCCTCAGGGTGGGCAGGGGATAACCCCAGACCCCTTGGGGAGGGCAGGGGATCACCCCAGACCCCTCAGGGTGAGAAGGGGATCACCCCAGACCCTTCATGAAGTTCAGGGGATCACCCCAGACCCCTCAGGAAGGACAGGAGATCACCCCAGACCCCTCAAGGAGGGAAGGGGATCACCCCAGACCCCTCAGGAAGGTCAGGGGATCACCCCAGACCCCTCGGGGCTGCAGCTGCCCGGTCTGTGTGAGACCCTGCTCCTGCAGAGAGCCCCCAGCCCTCTCACGGCCACCAGCTCCAGCCCCCTCCCCGTGCAGCTCATCAGGCTCTGGATGGGAGGACAGCAGACAGAGCAGGTGATAATTTCATTTCCCTTGCAAATGAGCCCACGTTCCTTCTCCATCCCCAGCACCTCATCAGCAGAGCCATCATCCCCACCCCACTCACTTCAACTCATCCCCCAGCCCTGACAAAGCCATTCCCACCTCACAGGAGCCCTTCTCACCACCTCACTGCAGACAGGTTTGCTTACCAATGAAGTTATTATGGTTAACTATTAATATTAACGAGAACAACTTGCTTTTCCAGCAGACAGCGTTCCCTAAACCATCAGCCAGCAGCGGCTCCTGGAGCCGTGTCCATGGACAGGTGGCTCAGGATGGGATCATGCAGAGGGTGCCTTGGACAGAAAAGGGGCTTTGTGGATGTGGGGAAGGGGCTGAGGTGTGAGATGGGGGTGCAAGAGACTGGAAAACCCCAACAGGTCCCATCCCAGCCCAAGGATGCCCCAAATCCCCTCACAAGGAATATTTTATCCCATTTCCTCATCCCTCGCCTTCCTCCATCGAGGCTTTCCCAACCCCACTGCCACCCCACGCAGGATGGGGGTCCAAAATCAGCCAGCCCAAATCCACAAGCTCTGCTGAAGCTCCAGCTGCTTTCAGCAGCTGTATTTGCTGTTTTTGCTGTATTCAGCATCCCTGGGAGCTCTCCTGCTCCCCACAGACCATTCCCCATCACAGGCACTTTAAACTACACCGTGCTGGAGCAGAGTAATTAAAAGCAAGCCTGAAACCTTCCCAGGGAACTGAGAGCGAAACCCAGGCTGCAGAAAACTCCTGGAAACAAAACCTGGGAGCTCCTGAGTCCCCTCCTGGTCAGAGGACTGGATGGGGGCCACAAGGAGCAGCCACTGGGTGATGGTGTCACCTCCTGAGGTGCCACCTGCCCCGGGATCCCCACTGGGGTTAATGCTCAGACCCCAATGGCACCAGCTCAGATCCCAGCAGTCCCCAACCTCCCCGAGAGCTGTGATCCTGCCCTGCCTTGGCTGGAAATACAGAACTGAGGGGAGGGCTTCCTTCTGCTCCCCCCAGCTCTCCTCACCCTGACCCAGCCCTCTGGTGCCCCCCTGCACCCCTGAGCCCTGACACAGCAGAGATGGGCTCCATCCTGCCCCCAGCCCTCCTCCCTGCAAAACAGGGACCAGGAAAAGCCAAGAGAGCCAGCAGGATTCAACCCCACTTTCCTTAATTTCTGTTGAATAATTAAACCCTGGGAAGTTAATACTTTCTGCTCAAAAAACACCAATTCCAGTGTTTGTAATTACTGTTTTATTGAAGCATTAAAAATTAAAGGGCATCCTGAGGTTACAGTGAACATGAGAGCTGTGTTCATCCCCAGCAAGGGCAAGCTGAGCTCTTGGGTACCAGCCCAGCACAGCCCCTCAATCTACCCCCAAAACCTGGGAGCCACAAGCCCTGCCCAGCCCAGGCTGCCTCCCTGAGGAGAGAACCCCCAAACCATCTCCCCTGTGGCTGTCAACACCCCCCAGCCTCCCCTCAGGGCATAGGAGTGGGGATATCAGCTCCCAGAGGAGCCTCAGGCCCCCCAGCCCTGCAGCCAGGGTCACCCCAGAGCCCCCCACCTGCAGCAGCACAGCCCAAACCTCACCTCCAACAACACTTCATGGGCTCCAGGTGCTCCCACCCTTCCTGCACCACGGCATGGGCTCACTGGAGGCCAGGCTGGCCCCATCCTACCGTGTCCAGAATAGGGAACAAGGGCAGAAAGGTGTTTCTGGTACCTCAGCTGTGAGGAAACCTTTCCTCCCCTGGGTCTCATGAGCTCCCATCGCTCTGCCATCGATCCATCCCAAGGGGAGTGAGGGTTTGCAGCCAGAACATCTGCTGGCCCTGCAGGGCATGTCTGGGCTGGGAGGATGCAATTCCCCCACCCCAGAGCAAGGGGACACGGCCAGTGCTGTGTCAGGGCAGAAAATAAAGGGTTGGAAATGCCAGGGAGGGTTTCCATGCTCGTGGAATGGGGGAGTGAGCAGGCTGGAGAATCACCAGCCCTGGGGAGGTGCTCAGACCTGCACATGGAGGATCCATCTGCCAGCTGCTGGATGTGGGGAAAAAGAGGGGAAGGGGTGCAGAGCTGGGCAGGAGACCCTCAGACCCCACCACCCCACGTGTGCCAGCCAGGGCTGTGCCAGGAGCAAAGCTGGAAGGGCCAGAGGCATCCTGGAGGTTTGAAACTGCATGGCCCAGGGAGTGTGGCCCGTGGGGAGGGTGACAAAAGCCACCTCAGGACACTCAGTGTCCCCACTGAGGACACCTCCCTCTCGAAAAGCAGAGACTCAGCCCAGGGGTGTCGTGGCCTCTCCTGTTTTCCTGAAGTCCTATTTTGGGAAGCAAAACAAACCCAGACAGGAGATGCTTTGCTGGTTTTGGGTGGGGAGGGAGAGCAGTTCAGTGCTGTTCCCATCACCTCAGAGCTGCCAAGCCTCCCCCATCCCTCCTGCCAGCCCTCATCCCAGTCCTGCTCTTCCCTCCCAGCTCCTCTCGGGAGGTGCCCGGTGCTGCAGTTCCACCCTCGGCTGCTTTAGGGCTCCTCTGCAGTTCCCAGGCCTGGCTGCTGGCAGGTTGTGTGGCTGAGAGCCAGAAATACCCAGCAGCTCTGTCCCCACCACATTCCCCCAGTTTGGGCTGCTCTCTTCCCCACTTTGGGGACTTGTTACTCCAGTTTGGCCCCCCATAACCCATGTGAGGGGTGCAGTGGGGCTCAGCCCTGCTCTGGAGCACCCCCAGCCATCCCAAGCCACATGGATCACCATCCCAGCACCCAATGCCCCCAGAAACTCCAAACTGGTTTCCATGGCAGTGAGTTTCCAACGCTCTCATCAGTCTCCATGGCAATGCCTCTTCTCACTCCCCATCCAGGGCGGTGGGGCACTGCCAGGGCTCCCCAGTTCCCCCAGCAGATCCCCAGTTCCCCCCAGCAGATCCCCAGTTCCCCCAGCAGATCCCCCAGTTCCCCCAGCAGATCCCCAGTTCCCCCAGCAGCTCTGCCCTGCCAGCAAGCCGGTACATCTCTCTCCAGCTGCACCGACGGCTCCTGTCGGGTACCTGAGCAGGCGGATCGGGCTCAGCTTCCCACAAACTCCAGGAGAATCCAATTTCCTTCCCTCTGCCCGCCCCTCACCCCCGTCCCTGCTGGTTCCCCACTGCTGTCTGCTGTTCTGGGGCTGCCTGGCAGGTACTTGGCGCTCTCCCAAGCCCAGGGTTGCAAACCATCCCCGCAGTAGCAGAAGGAGAGGAGCTTTGTAAAAGTGACGCACGGCAGATGCAGATTAATTTTATTTTACAGTCCTGCTGAGGCTTTTGAGCGAGTCACCGATACGGGACTAAAAATACCACCAGGGGCCTCGAGTTTTTATTTTTCCTGTTCAACAACACTTACAACAAAAACACCCAGCCAAAATAGCAGCTACAAAACCGGCTGAGCCCCCGGTGGGCGGTGGAGGAGCTGGGGGTGGGCAGGTGAGAAGGCTCTGCCTGTGCTGGGGCGGCCAGAGGAAGAGGAGGAGGAAGAGGAGGAGGAGGAGGAGGAAGAAGAGAAGGAGCATTGCCCTTCCTCTGCAGCAGAACAGGCTTTCAAGGAAGATAACCCCAGGATCTGTGGTGCACAATTCCCTGCAGCTTTGGATGATGCTGAGCCAAATGTAAGGAGCAAAATCCTCTGTTTTCTGTGCTGCTGAATATTGGCAGTGTGATTTTTGTCAGTGAATTTGTCCTTCCTGGGGTATTTAACGGAGCTTTGTCTGACTGCTGTGATGCAGCCAGGACACTGGGCATCCAAAATTCCCTTGTGGCCATGCAGGGAGCCAGCCTTTGGGGGGAAGCCTCTCCAGGAGTTCATCTTTCAGCCTCCTGGCCAATTCTCAATAGAGCATTGGCAGCATCTTTCCCAGTGCCCAGGGAGGAGTCAGGCACTGGGGATGTTACATCCCACGGCTCTGGAAGCAAAAGGTAACAGCAAAGCTGTGCTGGGATGCTCCCACAGGAGCTCTCTGAGCAGGACAGGGGTGCAGGGATGAGGTTTAGAGGTTCTGCTGGCTGGGGTTCAGGGAGCAGGAGTGAAGTAAGGAGGGTTTGGAGGCAGGGCTGGACACAACCCTGAGCTGGCCCTGGGATCCAAGGGGTCCAGAGCCTGTCCTGTGATCCAGAACAAAGCAGGAGGAAAGGGCTGCTCCCTGTCCCTGCTGAAGCCACCTGGCACCTCTTGGTTCACGTGCCCAGAAAAAGGAGGACAAGCAGATGTTCCCAGTCAGGCTCTTTGCAGCACAGAGCAGCAGCAGGGAGGTCTCTGAAATGTCCCTGCACTTTGGTTTTCTGGTAGGAGCCTGCTCAAACAGGAGCACGAGCAGCCAAATGCAGGGTGTTCTTGGAAAAGTGGTGATGATGAAATTGAGTCAGGGGGTCACTGGGTCACACAGTGGTGTCCCCAACCTGTCCCCCACCCTGGGGAGCAGCAGGGGACAATCCCCTCTCCCCAGGGGACACCCGGGTGGCAGCTCTGGTGTCACAGACACGTCACTGCCCGTCCTCCCCTTTATGAGAGACAGTGCAGCTGTGGCTCGGGGGAGAGATGATCAACCATTATAACTCCTATTACAGCTCCTAATTGGGATTAACTTGGTGACTTAATTAAGTGTGGAAATCTGCCGCCTCCCACTTTTCTTTTGTGAAGTTCTTGCTCCCAAGCCCAGTCCCGGCCTGGCCACATCTGGGCACAGCTGGAAGGGCAGAGGACTGGCCCTGCTGTGTGGTGCCAATGGCACTGCTGGTGACAGCCAGAGGGGCTCCATTCAGCACCCAGCCACTGCCACAGTCTGACACAGGTGCAGGGATGGCAAAGGGTGGGCACAGGAACCAAGAGGGCTCAGACCTCAGTGCCAAACATGAACAGCCTTTGCAGAGGAACAGGGATGTCACAAGAGCCTGGGGACAGCTGAGGAACATCTTGCTGATGCCCAGAAGGTCTGGTGGCTGAGGAACCTTGCAGGTAAATCTGGTGGAACATCCTCCTTTGTTTCCAGGGCAAAGCATGCAAGGAAATCCCGGTGTGCCAGACTGGTGAGAGTGGGGAACGTGGGGCAAAGCACACCCAGGGGTCAGTGGGCAGCAAAGGTGCAGGATTGGGAATGTCAGGAGAGGGAGAAGCAGCAGTTCCAGTGCCCTGTGCAGCAGCCAGGGGTGCCTTTCCCTGAGGAAAACATTGCAGGATCCCCCCACCTACAGCTTCTGTATGAGAGGAAGGAGGGATTTGTCTTTCCAAACAAGCTGTGGGTCTGCTGCTAAATAAAACTAGCACTGAGAGATAAAAGAAACAATGGGATGGATTCCACTGATTGATGAATGAAAAAAAGATGTTTGCCTTTACAAACAAACTGTAGGTTTGCTGATAAATGAAACTGGATATTGAAAGATGAAAGAAACAATGGGGAAGCACCATAAATGCCATAAGAATTAAAAATGAAGAGGGAGGGTTCTACATTAGAGGGGAATCTCAGGTATCAGGCACTCTGGGAAGTCTGTGCCTCTCAAGTGCCTCAGCCAGTGGGGAAAGAGAGAGGGACATGGCCGGGAAATTGGGATAAAAAGGAGGCTGCATCCTCCAAAAACTGGAGAGACCCCAGGGGAATGGCCCATGGCCTCTCTGTTTATTTGAATAAAGTTCCAGGACTCCTCTGTCTCCTTTTTGGACATGAACCTCTGGTGTTTGGGGATTAATTTTCCAGACATGTAGAAGGACATGGGTGGGTTCCTGTGGGTTCAGAGGAGACCACAGAGATGCTCCAAGGGCTGGAGCCCCTCTGCTCTGGCCAGGCTGGGAGAGCTGGGGGTGCTCCCCTGGAGAAGAGAAGCCCCAGGGAGAGCTCAGAGCCCCTTCCAGAACCTGAAGGGAAAGATGGGGACAGACTTTTTAGCAGGGGCTGTTGTGCTGAGACAAGGGGTGATGGTTTTAAACTAAAACAGGGTCATTTCAGATTGAATATAAGGAAAAAATTATTTATAGAGAGGGTGTTGAGGCCCTGGCACAGGTTGCCCAGAGAAGCTGTGGCTGTCCCTGGATTCCTGGAAGTGCTCAAGGCCAGGCTGGACGAGGTTTGGAGCACCCTGGGGAGTGGGAGGTGTCCAGGCCCATGGCAGAGGTTGGAATGAGATGAACTTCAAATGTTCCTTCCAACTCAAACCCCACAATTCTGTAATTCCCATCTACCCCAGCACTGTCCAGGCCTGCTGTGCTCCCTGTTCCATGTACAGATCCTGCCCTGCTCCCACTGCTGCACACAGCCAGACAGCTGGCAGAGCTGCTGGAGCTCCCTATTATTTTTCTCAGCACTCTCCTGAAAATTAATTAATTCAATTAATTGATTAAATAAACAGTCCTCCACGCTTGGTGGCTCTGAGCCAGCTGTGCACGGTGTCGAGCTGCAAGAGCATCACTCATTCCCAGGCTGACTTCCCACATCAGTCCCAGTGACTGCGAACTGGGGGGATCTGGGAAGGAATCAGGGATGGTGAGTGAAGGGTTGCAGTGCAACAATCAGCAAAAAGCTGCACACAAAGCTCTGGAGTGGCTGCATTTCCATGCAGGTTGTGAAGCCTTCCCTTATTTCTTAGTGATGCTGTCAGATGCTTTGAATCCTTGGATGAAAGGCACTAAATTAGGACAGATCGTTATTTCCTGTTTTCTGGTTTATATTTAGAGAGAAGCTGATACCTCTGGCAGCTCTAACATTAAAAACAATCTTCTCTCCTGTTTCTAACAGGTCTCTACTGGAACCTCAGCTCCAGGGGGTGAAGGGTGGTGGGAGCCCTCTGAGAGATGGAGAGGAGATGGGCTGAACACCCAGCAGCCCTTTTCCTCTGGAATTCCAGAGCCAGCAGCCAGGGCTTGGGAATGGACAATTCATTTATTTGCTTTTTCCCTCCTGATGCCCTTTTCAGGCAGCAGTGGCACCTGTGCCAAGGAGCCCTGGTTGGATGCCAAACCCCCCCCAAACATTCCCCTCTCTCCCCATCCTCCCCAAATTTAATTTCTCCCCCTCTCCAGAGGGTCTGGATGCTGAGGGCTGGGTTCTGGCTCAGCTTCCCCTCTCCTGGACCGGGGGATGTCCCATCCTGACCCCTCCTCTGGCACCTGCAGGAGAAGCTGCTCCCTCAGCATTTCTGCTCAGCTCTGGCCATGGCTCTTGGTGTTTCTCTGCCTGCCTCGGGGGATGCTATTGAATGGGCCTTATCTCTCCCGAGAAAATATTGATCCCGAGTTTTAATGGCTTTCCACTAACGAGCCACAATGAGTGTCACTGGGCACTGCTGCTGCAGCTGATAAAAATGGGAATGCTCAGCCCCACAGCTCTGAAAAGGACTTTCTCCCCCAGTCCACGTCCCTTCTACAAGATAAAATAAAATAAAGGATGAAAAAGAAAGAGGAAGAAATAAAGGCAGAAGATTTTGCTGCTCTTTTCACCCAGTAAGTCTGAGGACAGATTTTCAATTTGTTCACTTTCTTTACAGCTCTGGATTTGCCACAGGGAGGGAGAGATGAAGGAAGGGGACAGGAGATTAAATGCATTCTTTTATTTTGGGAAAGTCATCCTAAAGGGGGAAAAAATAATATTAAAAAAGAAAAAAAAAGTAGGAAAACCCTGACATCAGGGAGACAGGACTCAATTAAAGCAAGACCTTGAAATACATGAGGCAGCAGCACCGAGCACGGGTCCATCAGCCATCCCTGTCAGGCTCCGGGGACTGTGTGGCAGCAAGATCCATCACCTGGGGAAATAACCACGGTGCTTACATCTTCAGCAGCTCCTTGATCTGCTGATAAACCCGTTAGGGGAAATAAATGGGTTTCTCCTGCCCGGACCGTCCACATCAGGGATGCGATTTGCAGTTTTACCCGGCCGCTGATAAGCCGAGGATCAGGAAGGAAAAGCTGCTTTAAGCATTTGCTAATAAAGCCCCAGATAAGAGTGGAGCAGCCCCAGGACCTCCCCAGGCTGGGATTTTACAGCCCCAGGCTGGGATTCAGAGCCCCAGGTTGGATTCACAGCCTGGTCCTGCTCAGGCCCTGGGGGACACCAGGGCAGGGACCTGCCATCCTCTCCCCCAGCCCCCCTGCACGGGCAGGGCTTGGTGCCATCAATATTCAAAACAGAGCAGAGCAAAAAACCCCAATCAACTCCATAAAGAAAGTTCTGGGTGGAATTACTTAGAAGAAGAGTGAGGCTCAGAAACATAAATCGCTCCTGGCTTCGTTTCTAGGTAAGGAAAATGGATTTCCAGAACAATATCATTCTTTTGATACGCCTGTCCTGGTTTCACAGCTGCCAGAAAACAGGATAGGAAACAAATCCAAGACATTCCAGGAGGTTCTGCTGGCTGGATGCCACCAGAGATGCCACCAAAAGATGTGGGACAGAGATGTCCCACCCTGAGGGACCCCAGGGGCTCCCCATGCCCCCA